GGTCAGCGACAGCTGCTAGAACTCTAGCCCTGCTAAACTATCCTAGCACCTAATTCCAGACTATTCCCACGAAATCTATCAATTAAGGGAACAGAGATGGATGGCATGGGGAGCAGGAGAAACCCAGAGCAAAGGGTCTGGGGTTGTCAGTTGAAGATAGCCATTAGCTCCCTCTCCCCAGGAGGAAGACTTCCAATTCTTCCCCATCCTCAAGAGTCCACTGGGCCCTGGCTCTGGCCAGCCCTCCAGCACCCTCTCTAGTATGCTCTCAACAGAGAAGGGCATCTGACTGACCAGGGGTGGGGAACCGTTTGCATGAAGCGGCTGAAAGACCAAAGTCTCACGGACTGCCCCTTGGAAACAGTAAATGCAGCCATTTGGCATCTTGGAGCTTGTTTTCTGGTTGGTCCTTTCTGGTTTCCTTCCTCCAGAAGACAATATAAAATGATACACTGCCACTCCTAGTAAGGAGGCAGTCTTCACAGGAGTTACTCATTCCCGTATCCCTTTTACCTAGTACAGTGCCTGGCTTATAGCAGCTGTTCAATGGAAGTTTGTTTGCTCTGTGAGTAACTGAATGAATCACAGGTATTGTCACAGAATATTGGAACCTTGGAGTTAGAAAGTCCTTTGGAGGATACCAAGCCCCACAGAGCATGTCTGGGAGTAGTTGACTAGGGTGAGGCCCTGCACCACCTGGTCTAGAGTAACATTTCTTGCNATACACTGCCACTCCTAGTAAGGAGGCAGTCTTCACAGGAGTTACTCATTCCCGTATCCCTTTTACCTAGTACAGTGCCTGGCTTATAGCAGCTGTTCAATGGAAGTTTGTTTGCTCTGTGAGTAACTGAATGAATCACAGGTATTGTCACAGAATATTGGAACCTTGGAGTTAGAAAGTCCTTTGGAGGATACCAAGCCCCACAGAGCATGTCTGGGAGTAGTTGACTAGGGTGAGGCCCTGCACCACCTGGTCTAGAGTAACATTTCTTGCCCACTCCCAACACACACACACACACACACACACACACACACACACACACCATAAAGGCTTTGCTCTCTCTAGAAAGGACTTCAAGTCTCCTCAAAGCAACAGATGATCCATTCAGGAGCACTGGTCAGGTCAAAGGCTGTGTTCCATCCTTTCTCCCCCAGTTGAGAGGTCCTGCCTATGGGTCTTAGGAAACAGAAACTGGCACTGCCTGGCAAGGGATGGTGAGAAGTGACCTTGCTTCTGTCCCTGGGGCCACTGGTGCTGCCCTGAGGTAGGGTAGAGAAGGGGCAGCGCCAAATCAGGAAGGCTGGCCAATAACACCAAGATCCCAGGAACCCCTCACCTCACATACCCCATTTTCCCACCTTTTGTGCCCCAGGTTGTTACCCCTAGGAGGGTATAGCCCTCAGACCTGATAAATCCTGAAGTCCATGGAGAGGCATGGAAACTCAGACACCCCAGAATGCAGGCTTCTAGGGTTCAGAAGGATCCCTAAACTGAGATGCCACAAGAAGAAGAAAGATCAGTTCTTCCCTCAGACATGCTGGCCATGTTGGTAAGGCAGAGGAACTCCCGTGGCCTATCTCAGATCAGCCACCTAATGACCACCAAAACCTTGAAACATTCTTTTATGCCTCCATTTCTCCATTTTTTTGCAGTACAGAGGCCATTCCTCCACCTCCACAGTAGTCTGATTTTCTCTATATCCCTCTCCTACATCCATCTACTCATGACCTCAAGGGCTGGGGTAACTGAGGCACAAAGACAAGATGCCAGGATTTGAAAGGTCATTCTTGGCTCAATTAAGAAGACATGAGAGCCCCTTGACTTTGTCCCACAACTATATTGGGACCCCCAGGCCCTGCTCCAATATATATTCCCTTTATGCTTTCTGCCTGTGTTTAGGTGGAAGCAGACTCTGCTTTCATTGTATAAGGTAAAAACTAAACTACCAGATGTTAATGAAAGATTTGGAACACAGCACAGGAATAGAAGTCAGGGAAGTCCAGATACACTCTGGATTTTCCACCAACTAGCTGTGTGACCTTATACAACTGCCTTAACCCCTTTGTTACTTCTCCTGTATTGTGAGGATAGGATACATCTAAAGGCCCCTCCCACTCTAAAAGTCTATGAAATTAGCGGTCATTTCAAAACCCATTTCCAGGTTTTCCCTTACCTTTCCAGTGAGGGACACTTGGGCAGGTATGGGCAAAGAGCTCTTCTTTGATTACTGACCCTTGGGCAAGTACCTGATACCAGAAGAAAAGAAATTGCCCCTGAGTTTTCTCTTGGCAGCGGGACAGAGACCCAGTTCCCACCCTGCTTGTGCCTTCAACATTGCCCACACATTGACTGGCACAGTGCCTATCTTTCCAATTCTGGCAGGTCCTTGCTGACTCCCTGTGCTGTGTTTGTCCCCAGTACCCCCTCTGAGGGAAGTACCTTTCCGGCTCCCACCACAGGCCAGGGCAGCTCCAAAGGAGGGAAAGAAGTGAGTGCAGGAGACATGGGTGTTTCTGGGCCTTCAAGCCCTAGAGTACACCCCTCACACAGACACCCAGGCTCCTCCAGACCTCTGTGCCTCAGAAGACATAGCTATGTGATTTCCCAGATTCTCCACAGAGGACTCAATATTCAAACTCCTGTATTTCCTTCTCTCTCTCTCACTCCACTTCCCCTTCCTCCTTCCCCACCCACTCCATCAGTCCCCCAGGATCTTCTCCTTTCTTCTTTGCTGAAGGTTCCAGTTCTCTCTCTGAACCCTCCTTTTCTCTCCTCCAGGGCCATCCTTGAGTCCTGGCTGAAGGGACATAAGGAAAGGAAAGCTCCTTCTCTGGGCCACCAGCATCAGAGGCAATCCTTCTGGGACACTGTCCCCATAGGGCCCCCAACAATTCCTAGGCACCAGGCACCTGATAAGGGATTCTCACTTGTGGCATTTGGGGGAAGACAGGAAATGCTGTGAAACACTGAATTCTACTCAAAGCAGCCTTGCAGTTCCATTAACCACTAACATGTGAAGTAGCCAAAGACACCCCAATGATGCCACTGAAGAGCACTTCGCAGTGTCACAGCCCCAACTCTGGGTCAGGTGAGGTTTTTCTAATTACATTTAGAGTGTGGGGAACCTGAGATAGGCTATTTCTACCACCCACACTAAAATTAGTCTAACGTTTTCGAGATTTCATATCTTTCATTGTATTTTATTCTCACAGCAAACCTGTGATGTGGAGGGTAACCTTGGGGTGGAGAATCAGCAGTTCAAGGAGAGGAAATGACCTGCTTACAGTCGCACAGCGGACTCCAAGCCCCAAACTACAAAAGGAAAGGGGAAAGAGGGGCTCAGCCCCCATCAGCCTGCGACCAGGTGGGCTGCCCAGGACTCTGCCCCGACACACGGAGAGGTCCAGGCCCCAGCCCTGGCCCCGGCCTTGTTCTCTGCGTGCTGGGCAGTGGGGACTTTGAGGAGAGAAGTCTCAGCTGTTCCTGGGACGGTGTCCCCACTTGGGCGCACGCCCTGGGGTGAGGCTTGTTTGGAAAGCCAATGGCCTTGAACTCTGTGCTGAAGGGGCACTGGGCGGAGAAAAGCCCCGAAGACCGGATGGAAGGAACGCTGAAAGGAGCCCGAGGGACTGAGTGCGAGCGCGGGAGAAAGACGAGCCCCTCCCCTGCGGGGCCAGAGACCCGGCGCCGCGGGGAGGAATCCTCCCGGCTCGGAGCCAGGGAAGGCTGCGGGACTCGGAGGTGCAGCGGCCCCTCCCGGCTCCTCGAGGACGGGCCCAGGGAGCACGCGAGGACCAGGCCCTGGCTTTCCGTGCACGCTGCCTGGGCTTCCCGGACACCGGGAGCGGCGACAGGGAGCCTGCTCCGCCCCGCAGGGGCCCTCGGAGGCCCGCGCTTTCTCTGAAAGTGAAAGAAGTGGGCGGGGGG